GAACCGTGCGAGATTTAGCGTCTCCGTCAAATACTTCCATACTCCCGGCTCTCCGTAGTAAAAGATGTACAAGATTTAGAAGACGTTATTATTCAGAATAACACAGGGCCAAAACATTAAAACAGACTGCAATAGTTAAAGAACAGACGCGCAACTAAAATTTGGACAAGAATTACCCGATGTGAGGGAATTCAACCCTCAAGCCAAATAACAGGAGCAGTCACCTACCTCGGACGCTGCCAGCCACGAAGCGCCCCGATAGACGGCGAGCGCTACGTTTTAAGCGGTCCGAGGCGAAAGCATGTGACGTGGCCGGCCCGGGGTAGCGGCCGGCCCCGTCCCATGACGGCGGCTGCACCTGAGTCCTACCCAGGCGTCGCTGACATTACACCTTAAACGAGTAATCGAATGTTTTGTTTGCAGTGTTTAAGCTCCGTTATGTTCATGAACTGTGAGAAAAGTTGTCGGAGAACGCTAAACTCAGAGAAATTTGGCTTTTGATGATCTATTGTGATTTTATTTTTGAGCTTGCCTAAAACATGACCAGATTTCTCTGATCACGTTTGTCGCTCTTTCAAACGTCGTTCCGCTTCTCGCCTCGTAGCCCGGTAGCCGAGTTAGAAGGAGCGTGAAAAGCCCACCTCTCGACTCAACGTGTTACGATAAGGCCACCACCCTGGCGCGGTTAAGTTGGGGAGCCTTGAGCCCCAGCAGCTCGTCCTTTTATCTTACTGATATTACCCTCGTCCTGTCTTGTGATGTTATTACAGTGCCATCTTACGATAACGGCCCTTAAATATGATTTACTTCTGTTTGATGAAACATGTCGGGCTCCGCGATGAAAAGATTTAACCCTCGCCGGCACAGGCCATTTTGAGTCCTTCGACGGCACAAGGGAGGGGGGGGGGGGGGGGGTTGGTACGACCCCCCCCCTCGCGTTTGGCCCCTGATCGAGCTAGAGCTTCGCGGAAAAAACGAGCGTGTTGCCCGTCACGAGAGGAAGTCGATGATACCCAATTTTAAGGTCCTAGGTCATCGGGTGACCTTCCAGGTCAGGTCAATGACCCGAAAACCGGGAAAATCGGGACCTATTAGAAAGTCGTAAAGTGTGGCTGCTATGTGGTTTTCCGGGGTGCTGATCACGAATATCGTGTTAGTTTTGATCATAGATGATGTCTTTAAGCATTTAGACCAGGTCGGGTCAGGTCAGGTCAGGTCAACCGGTAGGGGTTGTGACGGGTATTCGTAATACGTGTCAACCGCCTCGGACAGCTTCGTAACATGTTACGAAGGCACCAAAACTACTTCGTAAATGTTCAAATGGTTGCTAAAATCGAATTCAGCTCCAAAAACTAGCCTAGAAACATATAAAACTCGAAAAAGTGAACCGAGGTCACCCGAGGTCACCAAAGGTCAATGACCTGACCTGACCTTCAGGTGACCTTGACACCCACCCTAATGCATGGGAGCAACATCAAATCACATGTTTGAACGTTTGAAACCACGAAAAGCTTGCAAACGCGCGGCTAATGCGAGCCGACATGCGCCGAACCGCGATTTCGGCCAAACATGGTCACATAAAAGAGGTCACAGGTCAAAGGTCATTGGGGTCAGGGTCATGAAATTTTCAGGGTAGGTGTAAAATTGATCAATGCGAGGGTACTGAAAGTTTCGTTGCGATCGGCCGCTTTTTACGCGAGTTATTCGCGAAAAACCTTAGGGGGGGGGGGGGTTGCATCAACCCCCCCCCCCTGTGCCGGCGAGGGTTAAAAACATAGAAGCTTCAAAATAAAAATAAATTAAATTTTCAAGAACTTTTCAAGGTAGATAAGAATAATGAGAGACGCTTTTATAGATGGCAGTTTTTTTTTTGTATGGAGACAGCTTTTAGGATTTACAAAAGTGGAAAAAGTTACCCCGGCCGCGCCGGGGTCGGCTGCAAGTTACCCCGGCCACGGCCGGGGTGGCCGGGGCAGGTTCTCCACCCATGCCGTGGTCCCTGGTGGTAAAGTGAATGATACACATAGATATCTGTTTTTATCCCGGTAGAAGCATCCTTGTGATCTAAGTGTGATCGATCATAAATTGTCTGAGAATCAGAAGTTTAGCTATAAGTCAAGAACCACGAAACAACCAGCTTATAGCTGGTGGAAGAGCCGCCACTCAGAAGCTTTCAGAAAACCGTGAACGGTTGAGACAGCCGACAGGTTGAGAAATCAAAAGACCTGAGGCGCCAGAGAACCAGAGAATGCCTGGGAACTTTAACCCTCGCACGACCAGGCCATTTCTCATAACACGAACGACCAGGGGGGGGGGGTTGTTACGACCCCCCCTGGCGTTTCGAAACGGAAGGTCGTAGAGCTTAGCGGAAAAACCAACGGATTGCTCTCAACGAGATCTCGCGATTGGTGGTATATTTTTTGGTCCTAGGTCAACATTTGACCTACTTATGACCGGTCAAAGGTCAAATTTTCCGAAAAATCAAACTTTTTCAACTTTCCGCGGCGATTGCGGCACAACGGTGGAAGATATCGACTTGAAACCTTCACTATCGTGTTCCTTGATCAATTCTCTATCGTTTGGTATGTATTTCGTTTCCCTAGCTCTAAAAATGGCGCGTTGGGAGCGCCGGAAGTCGGCAAGGTCACAGTCGGCGGCAGAAATTCGAAAAATCAAAATTAAAATTTTTGAAATCTGATTGTATTTTTGGATTTGGGAGGTCCATTTGCTCCCTATAGAAGCTAATATTGCTGCATATTCCCATTGAGGTGACAAGAATTAGCAAAATAGTGGTTCGGGCGCTTTTCAAAAATAGTACCGGACGCTGTTCCTCTTGTGACGTCATAGCTCCGTGACCTGACCTGACCCGGTCAATTTTCTTGCACCACACGATAGCCAATGCTTGCCCCAACATGCATGGGAAGTTTCATCATGATCCATCAAACAATGTGGGTATCACCGGCAGAAAACCTAGGGATTCGGCGCACACGTTTGGTAACTGTCGGCCGGAGGCTGTACCTCTTATGACGTCATAACTCCGTGACCTGACATGACCCGATCAATTTTTTTCGGCAAAAGATGCGCAAAGGTTGCCCCAGAGGGTATTGAAAATTTCAGCCCGCTACGACAAGCCGTTTAGCGTGCACTTTGAAAAAACCTCAGGGGGGGGGTTGATACAACCCCCCCCCCCTAGGCGTTCTAGGGTTAACCCTCGCCGGCACAGGGCACAGTTGATGCAACCCCCCCATAAGGTTTTTCGCGAATAACTCGCGTAAAAAGCGGTCGATCGCGACGAAACTTTCAGTACCCTCGCATTGATCAATTTTACACGTACCCTGAAAATTTCATGACCTGACCTGGAAGGTCACCCGATGACCTAGGACCTTAAAATCATCGGCTGCCTCTCGTGACGGGCAACACGCTCGTTTTTTTCCGCGAAGCTCTAGCTCGATCAGGGGCCAAACGCGAGGGGGGGTCGTACCAACCCCCCCCCCTTGTGCCGTCAAAGGACGCAAAATGGCCTGTGCCGGCGAGGGTTAAGGAACCGCTGGCTACCAGATCTTGACTAGAAACCAGAAGCCATGAAATGACCATTTCACAATCTAAGATGCAGATTCTGGTGCCTGAAAATCGTGTGAACACACTTTGACTTGACATTCCAACAGCAGCTCATTTCGGTACCGTTATAAGTCCAGGGCTGCGCAGTCGATGGATTTTCGGTGACTCTGACTCCGACTCCGACTCCGGCTTCCAAAAACCAACTTCGACTCCGACTGCGGGCATACATTACCTATCGACTCCAGCCGACTCTATTTCCGACTTCGACTCCGCAACCCTGCCAGGTCTGCGGAGTCGATTGATTTTCGGTGACTCCGACTGACTCCGGCTCTGGTTTCCAAAATCGACTCCTACTCCGACCCCGGTCAGAACTGTGGTTATAAATAACATGTCTGTGAATAAAAGCAGTTTCGGGTGCAGCCACCCCCTTTTGCTTTTCACACTCAAAAGCTCGTCCAAAACAGGAAGATGAACAGGAACTCAGCTTAAACATCGGTCTTGGAAAGGTCACCGAACGTTATATTTTTCCGCAAACAGACGAAGACCACGAATTTGAGCAATGACATGTCGATTAAGACTCTGAATCCGGGCAAAACTGTCGACGCCGATCGACTCCGACTCCGACTCCGCAGACCTAAACTTTATTCAACGGATTTCCATGAGACTTTACGCCGGCAAAATGCAGATAAACGTGCTCCTCTCGTCAATACGTGTCAAATAAACTTTGAATTGACTACAAATAGTCATTTCGACAATTTTACCTCATTTCCAGGTCATGTCCTGACCGGAAAATGCCGTAATGCATATCAGTCGATCTGTATCGTTGGGCTGAACACATCTAATGTATTTTTGTTGCTGTTTTATCAAGAATCATATCTCTGTCAAAGGTTACGGTAAAACAAAAAACTGCTGGAGACCATTCTTGACCTGAAATGACCTTAGGGACATAAAGAGGGGTCACGGGTGCAATGCTGCGCCTCTTAGGGCATGCCATATGCGATGAGATCGATGCGTGGCGACTGGCGTACACCTCGCTCTTTCTGCCTTTGAACAATTTTTGTCTGCTTTATCTGCTAAAAACACAATAAACACATTATCGAGCGTAGAAGCATGACTCTTTTGTTACGTACAAGCTTTGTTCAGTTTGTCTGAAAGCACCATCAAATATTGCAAGCTTCAAGGGGTCAATGCCCTGGGGCTGTGACGTCACGCTGGGGATCGTGACGTCAGCCGTGGGGTTGCCAGTCTAGTATGAACTAGACTTCGACCCCCCCTGGTCGTAACCTGCAACTCGTGCGGCTGGCTTGGCAAATGAATTAATAATTACCAAATATTACATAAAAATAGCTTCTTTTAATAAAGCTGTGTATGAAGTAGCTAATGTGTGGTTGATAACTCAAGGTTTTTACTTGTGCTGCCTTTTCAATTTTGCTACAGGCGTTTTCGTGAGACGGTGAGTGTCCCTGCTTGTGCTCTGATGAAAGTTTTGTATGATATTTGTGTTTTTCCTAAGTTGTAGTCGTAACACGTTTCTCTATATACTGTGGACACGTTCTGAATATTAATTTTACATTTGGAAAACTGCTGCTGTGTATTCTGAATGCTCCACTAAGAGGAGTCAGGAGTCCCATTAGCTGCCTTCCGTTATTTGGCTTTTGGCGGATAGATGTGCCTTTTTGCGATCATAAGGATGCTTTTTGCCATTTACATTCAATTTTAAGATAAAAAACATATAATGTGTTTATTATGTGTAAAAATAAGAGTGCCATTTAATACACATTTCATGGGGATAATATTCCACTGAAGTAGGTAAGTAGGTACCTACTTATGTAAGTTCATAAAAACAAAAAATTGAGCTGTGACATGTGCTTTTTCTCACATCTAATAGAAATTGCATTGTTGAAACTGAGCAGAGGTCAACTAGCTAAGTGCCAGTGCTATATCAAACCATTTTTTTGTGCCATTTTCAGGTGGCCATGAGTCTTCTTCCGCGCTCAATGCCCCTACTGAGGGCCAGCTCCCGACGCCTGCCCGCTCTGCTCACTGCTCGTCTCAGCTCAACAGCCAGTGACGCAGCGGCAGCACCAGCAGCAAGTGGTGCTAACACTGCTTCGACCAGCACAGCAGCATCCTCTGATGCACCCCTCTTCTCCATGGAGAACCCCTACCAGGAGGAACGGCGCCTGTGCATAGCCTGCCGCCACAACATACAATTCGACTACAAGAACGTCCGACTTCTGAGTCAGTTCGTGTCACCTTTTACGGGCCGTATGTACGGCCGGCACGTGACGGGTTTGTGCCGTCAGCAGCACAAGAAACTCGATGCCGAGTACAAGAAGGCGATAGCTTGTGGATACATGGGTGTCATGATGAAAGAGGTTGAGTTCCTGCGCGATCCGAAGATCTGCGACCCCACCAACCCTGTGCGGCCGCATAGGTTCTAGTCGGCGGGGCGTATGGACAGAGTTAAAAGTGAGCGAGTGCGGGAGAAAGTGAGATATTGCAGTATGGTGGATGCTATGGGATGGCTCGCTGATAATGTAATTGAGTTGATGTCATTTAGTTATCAGGATCGTGGTTAAGATACAATGTGCGAAAGATGTCCGTGCTTTTCACGCAGTGGCTCGCAGTAACTAGCAGTGACTCGGAACTCGCTGTCGACATTTGCCTCTTGAAAGGAGCTAATCGATTCGTCAACGTTCAATCTTTGAAACCACACTTACAGAACTCATTTTAGCGAAACACTGTATTACGGATATTTGCCACTTTCCATGACACAGGGTTCGTCCCCTGCAAACCACAACGTAAACAAAGCACGTCATCGCAAAACAGTTACGACTTACCAGCCGCAAAGCTGATTGATCAGAGTCGACGAAGCACAATGACAAGGCTCGTCGGGCCTAGGGTTTGTTGCCATGGCAACACCAATAGTAACGAAATATGCGTGAAAACATGAACAAAACCGAATGACTGGATGCCCAGGAATGAACGACTCAAAGTCATGGCGAGTGCACATCGATTGTTTCACGGGATAAACGGACGAACTAAAGCCGGCAATGAGTCTTCACAACGCATACTCGTACGCCTCAACGCTCAATCGACACGCGTAAATGAGGAACTGCCTCAGAGTCGACTAAATACGAGTGTCTGTTTGATTGTATCAGTGGCTCAGTCTTGGCTGCCGATTAACTGAGTCGAAAAACAGCCACGCATCAGGCTTCAAAGCGGACAGTACAACACATTCCACGGTTCTTCACAGAGTCGCTCCGAGCTTCTCAAACGAGCATCTAGCCTCACAGATACAATAGCCACTTACAAAAGCAATTCATGAGCGTTTGCTGCACAAGATAGCGGTGGTTCAAAAATGACTATAAATGCGAGCTCGAGACGATATGATTCCGCTCAGAATGTCTTTACTGAAAACCTGTTGTTCAGCCGCCGCCACGTTGCAGCACAAGTGAGAACCTAGCTAGCCATGGCTTGATGATACACGAATCACCATTACTAGCATCAGTCCCACTGAAATCACTTCGTTGTGCGCGTTACTGACGCCGTCATCTCGATGACGCCGCGTCACCTGACGTTCTTCTGACGTGGGATGACATGACGTGACCTACCGGTCCACAGCCGAGGCTGGATCCAACTGCGGCACTCCGCTGAGGGCCTCCGCCACCTCCGGTTCTACTGGGGACAGGTCACAAGGCGGAGATTAGTGACGTTATAGGTATAAACACGATAGTAAACGAACCCATCAACAAAGGGCGTGATGCGCCCATTGGCAATAACAACCACGGTGCAATGCGGGAATAACGACACAGTACACACAGATCACCACACAAGGCACCAATGACGAATAGGGGCTGAATTTCGGAGCTGTAATTTGACACACAGTCTGATCAGTGACCAGAATGTCTCCATCATTACAACCTTCTGACTGGGTCTGCATCTCGTAACTCAAAATCCTGTCAGATCAGATGACCTTTACATTAACCACACGATCAGAACAGAGTCCTCATTAACCTGGTGACATGTCACTGACATCGTTACCTATCAATGACCTGGTGACCTTTCCCCTGACCTCGTGACCAATCACGTCCGGATGACCTGTTCGCTAAGGTATCACTCTGAAAGCTCTATACTGACTTCGTGATTTGTGTATTGACCTTATGACCTGTGTACCGACCTCGTGACCTGAGCAGGATGAGCAGCGTGGCGGCGTTCTCCTTCACTTGGAAGGGGAACTCGGTGTTGTTCATCACCGCGGTCATGGCGTCGGCCAGCTCAGAGCTGTGGGAATGAAGACGTGTCGTGTTACGGGCGCAGCGCAAGGCAATCAGTGGCGTATGTCGCAGGAGAGATTAATTCTATGAGACTAGCGCTACATAACTAGTTCCACAATTGCGACTCCCATTATGACTTAAGTTTCTTTGCGCTCGCTCGTAACATTCTGTACCACCAACTTTCTCCACCAATTTTTTTTTTTTTTTGTCCGCTCGTTCTTCCCTTTCTTATCAATCAGTGATAAGCTAAACCTCCCATTTGTGTTCCCTCACTTAATCGCTTGTTTTCCTTCCCTTCCAACACCCAATCTTCAGCCACCCGGCCGTCTATCCATTCTAAATGCTCTATCCCCAAACGTGCACCAGTTTTTTTTTCGTCACAGCGTTAACTGTTCTGCTCCCCTTCTCTCATATTCCATTTTCCTCTCCTCCATATTCTCTCTCCCTTCCTCCCACTTCCTTTCTTCCTCCCTCCCCCAACTCTTCACTCCTCTCTGTCCCTCCCATTCGTCCTCCTTTCCTCTTTTCCGTTTATTCCTCTCTTCTCCTCTCCTCCCTTCCTATTCCTCACCTGACTATCTCGGCCGCCTCAGTGAGCGGTGCCGTGTGACACAGAGCCATGATGGCCTCGTTGGTCATCACAGCGTTATCGGCCCGCAGTAGACGCACCAGACTGGAGTGACCGCCGGCCGACACCACCGCGCGAGACACATCAGAACTCCTGGGGGTAATGAGGGGAAGGGGGTAATGTGTCAGCACAACTGGGGGACGGGTCGTGTCTGTACTCTTGCGGTAAGGAGAGGCGGGTAGGATACCCACACACTTCGTAAAACGGGTTACGTTTCTACACATTTGCAGCTGACTGATTTGCAGCAACTGATTAATGGGTAACGTGGGTGCACACTGCACAGCCGAAGTAGCAAGCAAAGTAGTTGTTCAATTCAAGTGCTATAGAGAACACGTCTTTTTATCTGGGAGACCAGCCTGAGAACCTTCGCTCTTCAGGTGTGCTTACTCATGGTATTTACACGAGCTGCGTTACATTTTATCATACCGAGATGATATATTTTCTTCCTAATGAGAACCTTCGCTCTTCAGGTGTGCTTTGATGGTATTTACACGAGCTGCGTTACATTTTATCATACCGAGATGTTATATTTTCTTCCTAATTGCATGTTACACCAGTTTGCATCCAGCTGCGACTTACTGCGCCGTACGGACGAGCCTGGCCAGCAGTCGGCACGCCTCGTGCTGGACCCCGTATGGTCCGTCACCGCGTGCAGCCGCCACCACTTGTTCCAGCAGACCCGGGTGGTTCGCCAGACGGCCACAGGCGGCGCCACTGTCGGCCACGAGTAGACGCAGGGTGCCGTAGTACTGTGGAGGGAGGATGCATCTCGTCAGCACAAATTCGGTGGCCCAACTCAAGCGTCAGTACTCAGTAGCCTAGCCATTTGTGACGGAAGATCGCAGAACGATTGGCATGAATAGAGCGAGCGGGGCCAGATGTTCCTGCTCTTCCAGGTTACATCTGCATTTGAAACGATACAGTCATGCCATGGATCATGGATGTGAGTGTGACATTTATCGTGATTGGGTTGAGGCTTATGGGACTATGCCTGGCTTCTCAGCTGTTATACCTCACCATGTGCTGCCGCCTAGCGGTTGGATACTTTACTATAAGACGGCTGTTCACGGACCCTGTGTGCGGTCGGACCGCACACAGCCTCCAAGCTCCGCCCACTGCGTCCCTACGTCAGCCTTGCGTCACCGCACACAGCGACCGCTGTGGCCGGTCGGGACTGGCCACAGCGGACCGTCCACCGCACGCAGCCGTGACGTCAGAGCCGCCTACCCATCCCCTACCCCCACGCCTGCTGGACGTACCGCACACACCGCACGCAGCAGTGTGCGGTGCCCGTGAACACCCCTCAGGTGTCGCTAGTGCACGGCACAGCCACGTCGAGACAATTTCGTCGATGATAAATCAAAATCAAACATTTGAAATGTGGAGATTATTACATGAAAATAAATGTTTGAGCATAAACCAGCATAAAATGTAAGTTTTCTCCAGAAAAGAAAATGTTATATTCCAGTACTTCAATATACTTGTCCACCACTATGTTCTCTATTTCAAACACAAGTACCAAAGGCATTCGTGGCGCACAAAGACGAATTGCGAAAACACGAGCGAGGGCCGGCGCAATTTCATTTCAAATTGCTTTTCAGTCAAAAGTTGAAGTTGTTAGCACTTGGAAAATTAATAACAGCAATTTTAGATAGTGTATCAGTCACTGGTGGCCTCAGCGAAATGGGTGCAACAGCTCAGACAGCGATTGAGTCATTCAAAGCTAACATCTACAATTCACGGTGCGCTCAAGCTTTACTTTGTGGGATAGCATGCCACTTAGCAGCATATTTTGTAGCGATTTTGCCTCTGGCTGCTATCAACACAAGCTTCTACAGCGTGGCAAGTCACTGGTGGGCGCTTCTGCATCCAACATCATGGCTGTATTTGCTAGTTATTGTCGGTCTGACATGTGCAATGGGCTTCATTCACGCAGCCTGGTATTCAGTAAAGCCAATTACTTTCTCAAGCTGGCTGAACTGTATGGCCCACCTCACAAGCAAACACATTCTGGGAACCATAGCAAGTCACATGGTCATCTCAGCATTTTTGATGAGAAGCTATCTGGGACTGTTCGGTTCAACGGAAATAGCAAACCTGTTCGTGCCATGCCAAGATGATAAGAACCATAAGTGCATCAATGAAAAGCACCTGTTCCTGGTGTGCCAAGCTGCATTCAGTAGCATATTTGCCAGTGTCAGCTACTTCTGTGACAACAGGAACCTAGTCACTTTCCCAGTAGCCCAGCAGCCACTATCTGAGAGACTGACCAATGTCCTGAAGGGCAACCTGTGGATGGCAACGATGGAGAACCTGCAGACAATGAAGTGGTTCTACCTGTTCTACTTCCTGCATGGCAACTGGCTGTGTGGCTTCTTCACCAACAACATCGATGTAGCAAGAGAGGGTGTTGCAGTTGACTCTGTGTTCGGCCTCCTCAGTGTCACCCTCTTCCTCAATGCCTTTACTCTCGGCACGCTCTCCAGGTTTGTGTTCCAGATGGGCCTCTCCATCTTTGAGACCTTCCAGACTGAGGCTCTGACCCTGGAGGTGAAATCCACCCAGGAAGCTGCCTCACCAATGGCCATGACTGCTGCCATGGAGGCCACTAGCTGCCCCCTTCTCCAACACCTCGCCTTCCTGGACTTCAGTGAGCTGGCGCGGCGCGGGGCGGACCGACGCGCGCCTGCCTTCTCACTCAGCCAGCCGGGTGGCCACCCGCACACCTTCAACCAACTAGCGACCTCCTCCCTGGGGCAGATCACCAGCCTCACCCAGCGTCTGGAAACTGCCCTAGCTCCACCATCCGACAACAACAACTCACCACCAGTCGCCGCCAACAAACCCGACTTCACCGGGCTGCGTGACCTCACCGGGGGCGCTCCTCCGCGTCCGGCAGCCGCACCGAAACGCTCAGAGGTTGCCGTGCTACTGGACCGTCTCCGCGGCTGGCTCGAGCGTCGTCCCCTCCTCGGCGCTCTTCTGACCGAGTGGCCCGACTCACGACCCGCAGCAGCTCTGGCCGACGGCCGTCCCGCTCTCTGGGCCGTCAGTGGTCTCAGCGCGCTCGGAGTCGCCTCACTGACTGAAGACCGCTACGGCGTGGCGCAGAGACACCTGGGTCCGCTCCTGCGCGCGCTCCTCGAGCTAGCAGCCGTGCTGGAGCGGGTCCGTCGCCTCGCCGGCTGTGCGGGCCGCGGAGGAGGCGGTGCTCCCGTACCTCGTCTGGCGTCTGGTCTCCGAGCTGCTACCGCTACGGCGCTGTTCAGGCTCACGGCCACCTTCGGGCCTCACCTGCGCAGCCTGGGACTCAGTGATAAAGAGCTGGCCCGTCTGGAGCCCTACAGGCTCTACACAGAGGGATAGTGGTGATAGAGCGCGAGTTGATGTGCAGATGATGAGATGAGAAGTGCGAGTTACGACTCGAGACACGCTGCCATGAGTGCGCGACTGCAGGTGATTGATACAGTGGATCGGACTCAGGCACGACCCGCTGGAGAGTTTGACAACAGTGCTGAGAGTGGACCGATCTCGGTACTTTCGTGGATTACCAGTGAAACCATCGGTTGGACTGTGAGCGCAGTGTGATAGCGGAAGAAGGCAACGGACGTGCTTGGGTTTGGAGAGATCTCCGCGCTCGCTTGACCTGGTTGGTCCACATACTCTGGATTCTGAAATGTATCTGAGCTTGTCAAAGTGCGATTGGTGTGGCCAGGACATGACGTTATGTTGCGGTGTTCGACTTTGTAAGATTGGATGGGTAAAAGTCCAACTGCTGTTGTGATGCATGTATGTGGGAGAACGTGAATACGTTTTGTGGTAGGTGTATAACTGGTTAGTCACACCTTTTTGTAAAGTTTCTTCAAGTGTCTTGCTAATATCCACTTGTGTTTTCCAATAAAGCTGATCTTTCTGTTAAGCATAATGGTCTTTGTCAAAAAGCTCTGAGTCGGAATGTGTCGTAAAATTGCATGTCTTCACGGGACGTGTACGGGCACTGGCGGTCGCAGCCGCTAGCAAAAGGGGGGGCCAAAGTCACACTCGCGGGACATAACATTTATCCGTCACCGGAGGGGGGGGGGGGCTGATCGGCTATTTTTTTACGTCCACGAGGCGCCGCGCAGTTGGCATTACTTATGCTTCGTCCATCTCATTCTTACGTGAAATATTTAAGCTCAATTTAAGGCAAAATCACCAGTTCCATTTCCCGTCCCACGGTGCTTCCACCGGTCGGGCCACTGCACCATGACGCGGATCGGTGTAGCATAGGTATTCCAGTATACCTATTAGGTATACTGGAAGGTCAGGCACGCGGATTCATGACCTTACCACTATAAAACAATTCCGAAAAGTACAGATACCTCTTGCTTTGAACAAGCATGTGAAACCCAGAGAGCATTTTCAGACTATGACATTTACCCATATAGGTACCTAGTTGTGTGGCGGCGGGAGAGCGTAGGTACACCGACCTCTGGAGACCCCCACAGGTTCCGAGCTTTCAAAATTGGCATCTGAGGGCCGCGCGTGACTCCGCGGGGCTTCGCAACGGCTCTATTGGGGCTCACTCAACCTGCCTAGTCCTACTGCTAAAAAGACTGGCCCTGAGCCCTAAGGACTTCATCAGTCTCTGCCAGCCCCAGGACCCACACCGGCTCATGGGGTCCCGACGTCGAAATATGAGGGAATCTGCGCGGGACCATCAGGACGTAAAGTAATCTCGATCAGGACCAACGTAAGGCTGTGCCGGAGACTGCGTGAGCCCTCTGATCTTCAGAAACCCTCCCATGTATGTTTTCACGTAGAGGCCAGTTTTAGGCCCTAAGAGACCAGTACAGGGCCTGCAAACTACAAAGGCCAGTAGTTTGAGACCATCAGAGACCGAGTTGGGCTCTCAGAGGCTAATGTGGGTCCTTACTCATTACAGGCCAACATGGGCCCTCAGAGGTCAGCGTGGGGCCCTAAAAGACCGGCATGAGCCGTCGTTGGACCCCAGAGGCCAGCAGAGGGCCCTCAAAGGCCAAGATGGGCCCTCCTCAGAGGCCAATGCAGGCCCTTAGAGGCCGGCATCGGGTCTTCAGCAGCCAGTGCGGGGCCCTCATTGGCACCTAAAGGTTCGTCTTGGAACACCAGAGACAGAAATAAGGCCACCAGAGACCGGTGTGAGACCCTCAGACGCCGGTTGGGGCCCCTGAGGACGGTTAGGGCCCCTCATAGACCAGATGTGGGGCCTCAGAGGTTGATGTAGGCTCTTAGCGGTCAACGTGGGCGCTTGAACGCCACTGAAGTTCCCTCAGAGGTCAGTGTAAGACGCTCAAAGACCGGTGTGGGAGCTATATTAATAGCTGGGCGTGGGTTTTTTGAGCCTCGTGACGATCGAATAATTGCCAGGGCCCCATACACCTATATGGGGGCCCATTGGCTGTTAGCCCCCCCCCCCCCCCGCGACCGCCACTGTGTACACATTACACACATGCCTCTGAGATTACATACTAGCTCACGCAAACTCTATGCAGGCCCCGGAGGTCCCACGCCAATCCCACGAAACCAAGCCGGCATACGGCGTCACCACCGGGCTTCTGAGGTGCACAGCACCAACCCATGAGGTCTTACTTTAGTGTCTTAGAGCCAATCTCCTTTAGCAGGGCCCACCCGCCACTGCCGAAGAGGGTCTCATGCCAGCCATTGCTGGGCCTACGAGAGCCTCAAGTAAATCCACGCTGATATTCCGTGTAAGATCCGGCCATACTCGTGAACCGGTGCCAGCGACGCTGACCGCCAAATTGACAGAATGCGAAACTGAGCCCACTCATGAGTGAAATTTACGTTCTTTGATGGTGCAAGAAAGAAAATGAAACATACGAAAAGATTTTCTAGGACTTTTGTTCGATCTGAAAGGTGGGGCCAAAAGATAGTATGGCCCCACCTTTCAGCACCAAAGGGGGGGCCATGGCCCCCGTGGCCCCCCCCCCCCCTGGGACCGCCTATGTGTACGGGAGACTAAGTCATGCTCGTAATCATTTGAAAAAGACCTTGCCGTAACGACCGTACGTATGCACATGACTCATAAAAGCTAACGGTTTTACACACGAAACACGCATTGATAATGTTAAACCTAAAACGGTCCTCAGTCTTCAATTTAATTGCGAAGATGACTTAAAAACAAAACCGCATGATACTTTTCCTGTCATTATTTAATGAATAAATACAATCATGTTTTTACAATTTCTATGATTGTTCGACGTGAAATGCATGACATGATAAAACGGCAAATTACCGTGCTTGAAGTGCAGCTATAGATACGCTCAAGCAAGCTGTTTTCCAGACGATTTCCGTAGCCCAACAAAACGACTCACTGAGATTGCATACCTACAGCGGATTGAGCTGTCCCATTCGACATATTGCTAACCTTGAACAGTGCCGGCTGTTCGACAACGGAGAGGCTCAGCAGGTGGTCCAGCGTGCCGGCCTCCAGTAGCGCCACTTTGTTGGCTGACGGGAGGCAGAGGTTCCGCAGCAGACTCAGCGCAGCCATCTGGAGCCGGGCACTGTCCGACTTCAGCGGGGGCACCAGGTCTAGGTGCACCCCGGAGCGCACCATCCCCGTGGCGTGGTCATCTGAAACAGATAATCATTTGTCAGTTAATCCTCTGAGGGGCATCCCCACATCACCCATTCACTGTTCACATTTCTTATCAAACAATTGTAAAAGACATGCACATTTTTCAACATCGCTTTCTCCTGAATGGAGGGGCTCGACGCGCAAAGATCCCGGAGTAACGACATCAAAATTCAACGGAGCTGAAAACATCGGCGAATATTGCGCAAACTTGACGCTAAGTAAACAAAAATAAATCTGTTTTATTAAATATCGATTAAAGGAGATACTTTTTCACTTTGTGGAACAAACTATCGTATGCTTTGCTATTCGCTAGCGTAACAGATAGGCTTCTTTCAGCTGATTGTTTTCGATGCATAACTTGCCATCCCCTCTTGCTGTCCTTCGCCTTGCAATATGCAACAGCCAAAAGGTACGGCAACGCACCATTATCAGCAACAGCAAGAGTTACAAAAGCAGAGCCCATCCCGGTCGCGGCCCGGGTCACTGCAGCTGAAGACACCGCAGGACTTCGAGCTGCGCCGGCCGGCCGATGCCACCCTCAGTCAGACCAGCATGCCGCGTACCTCATCCTTCGCTAGCCTCTCACAGTCACAGAGCTCTTCAACCGCACAACTAATCGACCAATCGGACCAATTCTTCATCGTTCCCGGTATGGATGGCGCGCTCAGTCGAGAGGAGTTCAGCAAGCTCACGCCGGCCGGTTCACCAGAGAAGGGCCGCCACTCCGAGGCCAGCTTCGCAGAGATGGCTGCCGCGCGACAGTCACTCTGCGATCTCGCAGAAGTCGCACGACGTAAGGAACAGGAGTGGAGAACACTGCAGGAGCTACGTATCCGCGGCCTGGAGGATGCCGTCCAGGGTCGTGAGCAGTCCCTCCAGCAGGAGCGGCGGCGTTTTCAGCGCACTGTCGAAGAGCTGAATGAACAGCGGCGACAGCTAGAGCAGCAGCTGGGTGACAGCGGCGCCAGAGCGCAGGAAGTCCAGCAGCTACAGCGTCGTCTGGAGCAGGCGGAGCAGGCGTCACGCCGGCTGACGAAAGAACGGGACGAACTCAGCACAAAGCTAAGTGATGTCATCTCCAAACAGCAGGCAGTAGAAGCAGCGTCACAAGAGCTACGTGAAGAGAATGAAACCCAGGCTCACCAGTTGCGTCAGATGGAAAAAGAGCTCGCAGCGGCGCGGCGCAACGGCGACTGGCTCACGAGGCGTCTCGAGAATGCTGAGCAGGAGCGAGAGAAGTCTGCCGATGCCGAGCTACAGATGAAAGTAGCCATTGGAAAGATGGAGGGATATCTGAAAGAAGAGGAAAGCACGCTAGATACGGTGCGTGCTGAGCTAAATAACGCCCGTGAGGCGCGAGAGACGGTGGAGATTGAGCTACGCGCGGAAAAGGCGCGCTTGAAGGAGCACCAGGAGCGCGCCAAAAAGATGGAGACTGAGTGGGAGGCGTCCCGCGTCGAGTTGGAATCCAAACTGGCAGACAAGTCCAAAAAGATCGGTTTCCTGGTGCAGGGTATTCGCACGCTTGAGTCTGACTGGAAGGAGCGGTATGCGGAGCTGCAGCGAAACTCAGCCGCCGCTCTGGATGAGGTAGAACGCAGCCACGGAGCGGAACAGGAGCGACTCCTGGGCCTTGTCAGGAGCGGAGAGGAGCGCGCGAGACAGGCGGCCGGTCAGGCGGCAGCCGCGCAGGCAGAGTGCCAGCGGTTAGAGGCTGAGCTGACGCAGGCTGCGGCATCCGCCGCCTCGACCGGCCGCGAGCGAGCCGAGGAGCGACGTGAGGCTGCGCAGCTTCTAGCAGCTCGCGAGCTGAGCCTGGCGGAGCTGCGGGGTCGTCTGGAACGTCAGCAGCTGAGACTGGACGAGCTGAGCTCGCGCTCCGCAGAGGGACGACTAGAGGAGACACGCCGTCTGCTAGCTCAGTGGCAGGCGGCGGCCGGTAGGCTCAGAGAATACGCCGAGAGGGTAACGGGAGAACGAGATCGACTACAGCGAGCGCTACAAGCGAACTCCGGCGGCGATAACGTTCAACAGCTGGAAAGGGATAACAACCGGCTGCGTACTCTGGTGAGTCGTCTTCGCGACGAGCTGGATCGACAACAGCAACGGCCGTCGGGGGCCGTGTCACCCCACTGTTCTAGCTGTAGTTCTGTGGACGACGCACGCGCTCTTCAACTGCGTCAGCTGCTCATCACAAACGCCAAACTGAATGAGACGATCGCAGCGCAGTGTGAGACAGTGCGCGCGGCACAGTCAGAGCTAGAGCGACACCGTGCTGCCGCGAGAAGTACAGAGTTCCTGCGGCAAGAAACTGCCTATTTGAGAAGTCTGTTAGACGGAGGGGATACCACAGGTCATACTGCCCCCGCTGCTGCGCTCCCCAGCCCAAAGGAGAGTGAGGATACCTCTCCGGCCACCGTGCGAGAGCTGAGATATAAACTACAGCTAGCGGCGCGGTATATCGCTCACCTAGGCCGAGAGAGAACAGCTGCGCTCCAGCGGTTACAAGAGCTGGAACGTCGACTCGCGGCGGTGCAGAGAGCGCCCTCTCTACCGGCAGATCTAGACTGTCTGACAACAACGCGGGTTGGATGTCTTACCAACCACGATACAGCCAGCAGCTTCGCCGAACTTCTACACCAGCTGAACAGCATGCAGGTGGAAACGGAGTCGAGTAGACCAGGCGGGGATGCCACTGTCGTCGCTGACTGCGGTAGTCTGTGCGCCACTAGCACTCAAACAGCCTGCCGACATGTTCTCAACTCCGACTGCCGAAGACGTTGTTCTCTAACCGAAGAACCCGAGCGTCGGGTACCTCGTCTGGTCGGACTGGGCGATTGTCGGACGCCGCATCGGACCGATGAGACGGCTGGATCGTCTGATGATCGCTCCTCGAGCGTCACAGCGGGTACGGGGGACGGTCCGTCGACTGGTGAACTGGAGCCGCGACAGGCAGCCGATGTGGGAGGTAGGCATAAGCGCAGTCGGTCAGTGCCGCAGAAACGACGTGGTGTGGGCAGGAAGAAGTAGCTGATGGGGATGGGAGAGATAATGGACTCAAGCGCTCCGGCCGATGATTTGAGTGGCAGGTGCGTGACAGAAGTGCGCAGGCTCATGGAAAAAATGACTCGAGCTTTCTTTCCCTCAATCGTGGCTTCCTGACTCCATGTGTGGATGGAAATGAGAGGCCCGAGAGGAGAGTTTATCGATGTGTGGTGTATCGTGGATAGAATACTAAAACTTGATTTTATGCAACACACAATGGTAATATACGTAATTGTCAGTGAAAGGATGAGCATAATCATATTGAGTGTTTATTCAACATATCAAACGTAAGCACTCGATGTTTTACGTCATTTAATATGACGTCCTGTGAAAATGATTCATCGACAGACTAACGCGTGATGTAAGTGTTGAAAATGGCACCATCATGTTATTTGAAAGTGATCAAGAAAATGTTCATGACCATGCTTAACAAAGATATATGTAGCGTGAGAACGATTGCGTTAAATGTATTTATACTTGGTGTTGAAGCTGTTCCTGAATGTTAGCACTTAGCCCTTTTATCACAGAATGTCAAAGCACGTTCATTTCGTTTAGATGTCGGCATAAATGAACATTGATTGTACTTCTTTGTTTCCTTTTTCCGGGTATATCTACAGTGAGTGGCGAATGGCGATCAAGAAGTTCCCCGTAAAGACACAGTATAGGTACGTAGAGAGTGTTGCATAAAAATGAAAGGAAACCAAACCGACATTTGTCAGCAATTCTGCTCCAACAACACAGAAAAATAACTGTAGGTTCAGTTTCATTTATCACTAAATTCATTTATCACATTTATCTGCACATTATTATCACATTTATCTGCAATGTGTCACTCCCCATCTGTTCAGCGATTTTTAGCACTCATGCATCAAAAATGTAGGAAAAACGTTGGCAGGCCCCGTAGCACAGCTCGATGCATCCATACTCACCATTGGTAGCGAAGTTGCTCAGGGCGTCGCACGCGCAGGCCGTCAGTGTCTCCGCCGCACCACCCTCGGCCAGCCAGCGTCGAACCTCCTTATAGACCGCTCCTTCCCCTCGCCGATATACCGCCGCCATCGCCTGATCGCCACTCAGAAGCTCCACGAGGAGCGCTCGGGCCTCCGCCGGGCAGTTAGCAGCCGGGAGAAGACAGACTAGAGAATCCGCCACCCCGCCATGAGCGAGAGCTAAGCGAGCTTCGTCATGACGACACCAAGCAGCCGCAGTTTCTAAGGCTTCCTCTAGCACTGAAGGTTCCCGTTGAGGTAGGAGACAGACGGCTAGGAGTGCTGCCAGGCGTGAGCCGAGAAGTGCCTCGCGCCGTGGGGAGTCCACCACTACGGCTGCGGCCACCAGAGTGTGACGTACTAGGGACGATTGGGTGACGTCATCACAGCAGGCGACGATCAGACGGTTTAGTGACTCGGAGTCCACGGCCTGCGAGATGACGGCGAAAGAGTCAAGCGAGGGAAGGTTGGAATGCGAACACAGGTGGCCGAGGGATAATGCAAAAGTGTGTTACAACAAGACGCTTCTAATTGATTTTTCGACAGATACGAAGATAAATTGGTAATGCGAAGATGATTTATCGCCTTGGTTAGTGCGGGCTCAGCTTCATTAATCCGTTCTATTTAAAAATACTTTTCGATAATAAAAAAAATAATTATCAAGAGAGCGGCAGATTGGAATACTAACGAGATTACGGTAGCCGACAAACAGTTTCAGTTTCGGATACGAAATGACAACATTCACAGGATAAGGTAACATGACCTTCATTGATCGTTCGACCCAGTGACTCAGCTGTCCACAAAATCAGCCCACACAAGCGCAACCACTCCCCTCAATGTACACCAACTCACCCAATCCACGCCGGCCGGGTAATCGTTGATAAAGTTGAGCACCAGCCCACTGGCCACCTCGCGGGCACGCGCACCCTCCTTTCCAGCTGTCGTCGCCTTCAGAACTGCAGCCGTCAGTGCCACCGGTCCTGGCGGCTCGAGAAGCCCAGCACGGGCTGGCTCACCCTCGTAACACAGATTACCCAGCGCACGGCATGGCTGAACAAGATCGTCGACATCCTCTTTAGGTTCGGCAGCAGCCGCTAGCACCTCAACCAGTCTTCTGAGAAGCGATGAAACCGACAGACGTGAGCGGTTTTCCTCTCGTTTGGCCAGCTCGGCGGTCAGTCGACAGAGATGCTGCCCGGCGCCGGTGGTCGATACACTGACCGGCAGTGCGAGTAGTGCGTCAGCCAGTGCAGTGGTCAATGCTGGACCCTCAGACTCAGAGGCAGTCTCGGCGGCAGAGGCGGCGGTAGAGAGCACGGCGCTCACCTCCTCCGGAGGAGAGTCGGCCGTCAGGGCGGAGATACGAGCAGCGGTATCCATGGTGTAAGCCTAGCTGAGGACAGAGATGCAAAAAGATGTCAGGGGTGGCTGGGAGAGCTGGAGTAGCAGTTGTTGCATAGAGGGGGGGTGACAGAATGCCGCATGAGATACTGCCTACAAATGGCATGGAAAATGTGAAGGTGTTAGAGTTTTAGCCAACCATGTGAAATATCAGAGTGGGTAGGTACTGAAACTGAGGTACAAATGTTTTTCTCAATGACCAGTTTTGTTCTTTTCCCATGTTTCAAGAAGGTCCTGGATAAAAAAATAATGTAAAAAATTATTTCCAATGCAAATATTATAATACATTCAGGTGGTCACCTCATGTAGCCTTATCTTAACTAAACCAGCTCCACACTGCAGAGCAAGATAATCTTGACAGAATCTACTCAGTAGTCTGTGCAGAGGCATTCAGGAGATGCATGGTGAGGTGCAGATATGTCATGGAGTGGTGTGGACTGTGGGCCCCAACCTAGTTATAAATGCATACCTACTGTGGTGCAGTGCAGGTGCATTGTTTGTCCTGCCCTTATCTTACTGCTGTCTAGATTTTGGGAGGCCTGGGACCCTTTGGACCTATTCTCATCGAGCTCTTAGGATCTTAGTTATTACTTTAGGTTAAGTAGCAATTAAGAATATGGTGTATGGAATGCACAGTAGTGAAAGGGATGGGATCAGCAGTAGAATAATTGGTATTACTGAAGCTGAGGCCCACATGGTTTTTGAAGGGTAACTTTTGTGTTGCTTTACATGTTTTTCAATGTCCTGAATCTCAAAATGGTGCTCATTAGTGCAGCAGGCATCATGATAATCCATAAGAGCACTTGACCCAGCCTGGCCAGGCCTTCTGCAAGAGATTAGCATTAGGTGTTGAGTAGGTGGGTGAAGACAAGTTAAGTTTGGTTAGGTTATGCTAGGCTAGGTTAGGTTATGTTAGGCTAAGATGGGTTAGGTTGTGTTGGATGCAGTTAGATTAGCCCAAGTTAAGTCAAATTGGGTAAGGATGGTTAGGTGACCAGACCTCAATGCACTATCGTTACATTTACTGCATAAATGAACATCATTTTTGGATTCAAGACATTAAAAAAATAGGGAAGGAGCAAAATTTATCTTTCAAAAATTATGTGCACCTCAGCTCCCATTTTACCAAATAATATAGTTACAGTTATTCGCTTCCAGATTTACAGATAAAAAGTGCAAATATCCACATTACAGCCACTAGATTTTGTGGGTCTTATTTGACACAGCATGTGCGGAAAACCAGTTTGATTGGTGTGGGCATGTGCCAGCGTCAATTGACAATTGTCGCTGCAGCTAATATAATTTGCAGACTGTTGCCATGCTGGCCTGTAAAGCCTCTAGCCTAGAACCAGCCTAGCCTTCTACCATAAGTTTATGCTTATGTTAGGCATAAATTAGGTGCAGGGTTAGGCAATATTAGATTAAGGGCTAGGATGGGTTGGTTATGATCTGTACATGAGCTTCAGAAGATACCTTAGCTAATACCAAATAACAAGCATTGTTTTTAGCCTCATGGCATGAAAAACACAGACAATTTAAAAATGTTCCACAACTTTACTTTTGTTAGCAAATATTTCACAATTATTCAACAGGAACCTGCAAACCAGTCTAATATCTCGTCAAGGAGGCCTTCTAATATTGTTAAAAACACAGTATACTGAATATAATACAAACACAAACCAAAACAATAATCACTGGTGCTGGTAACAAACACAATAATCTCAACTAGGCGTGCTCGATCGGCAAGTTCATAGGCGCTTTTTGACTGCTAGCGTGAAACGATGAATCGTAAATTTCCTAGCAACTTGCTGCCAATAGCCTTGAGCTCAGTTAATAATTGGACAAACGGAAGATGAGTCATTTTATAAAACTTTTTTCGAACAGATTTTTTGTCTGATATGCGTCATATTCACAAGCAAACTGAGGTCTTCTAACAGCTGATTGCAAAGAATGGTCGTCAAATTAGCATTAAAAACATTTCTCTAGTCTAGTATATAAGATTTGCTTTTGCTTCGAAATTTCGAAATTATATCACGTCATGTTGGGTGCATCATAACATATCAAAGAAAACACACATTTTGTTCCAGGTTTTGGCTCTGCAAAGCCAAAACCTGAAATCAATGATAATTTCGGCATTTTTTGCCCCGCTCGCGCACGTAGGTACGGCTCTCGCGAGATTAGGCGGTAGGTTTTGCACTTTAGTATATTTCCGGACTTCCGGTTATATCTCAGAAACTGAAAACCCGCGAGACCTGTACCTATAGAGAGGGTCCGTTGGACCCCCTTACCGTTTCGCCCCTGATCTAGGGCTTCGCGGAAAAAACGTGCGTGTTGCCCGTGACGAGAGGTGGAAACCGATGATACCCAATTTTAACCCTCACCGGCACAGGGTTGATGTAACCCCCCCCCCCAAGGTTTTTCGCAAATAACTCGCGTAAAAAACGGCCGACCGCGACGAAACTTTCAGTACCCTCGCATTGATTAATTGTACACCTACCCCGAAAATTTCATGACCCTGACCCAAATGACCTTTGACCTGTGACCTCTTTTCCGACGGACCATGTTTGGCCGGAATCGCGATTCGGCGTATGTCGGCTCGCATTAGCCGCGCGTTTTCAAGCTTTTCGTGGTTGCAAACGTTCAAACATGTGATTTGATGTTGCTCCCATGCATAAGGGTGGGTGTCAAGGTCACCTGAAGATCAGGTCAGGTCATTGACCTTTGGTGACCTCGGTTCACTTTTTCGAGTTTTACACGTTACTAGGCTAGTTTTTGGAGCTGAATTCGAATTTATCAACCATTTGAACATCTAAGAAGTAGTTTTGGTGCCTTCATAACATGTTACGAAGCTGTTAGAGGCGGATGACAGGTACTACGAATACCCGTCACGACCCCTACCAGTTGACCTGACCTGACCTGACCCGACATGGTCTAAACGCTTAAAGACATCATCTGTGATCAAAACTAACACGATATTCGTGATCAGCACCCCGGAAAACCCCTTAAAAGCCACACTTAACGACTTTCTAACAGGTCCCGGTATTCCCGATTTTTGGATCATTGACCTGACCTGGAAGGTTAACCCGCGCACCGACGGGGGTCTGCGCCAACTTCGCACCGACGGGGGGGGCGGATGACCGCCCCCCCCTGAGATCTCGAGAACGAAGCAAGATAGCGACAAGCGGTAAACGGCATCGGATACGCACGGCCAAGATCTACAATTTTTACTAAGGTCATTTTCAAGTCAGGTCAAAGATGACGTCACAGGGGTCGAAAAAGTCAAAATGGCGGCGCTAGATATGGAGAGAGGTTTTCTCGAATAACTTTCGAATTAGTCAAGATAGGAACAAACTAATAGCATCATCGTGATCCTCTCGTCAATCCGCATCGAATGATATATATATATATATATATATATATATATATATATATATATATATATATATATATATATATATATATATATATATATATATATATATATATATATATATATATATATATATATATATATATATATATGTTGACCTCGGAAGGTCAAGGTCAAAGGTTGACCTCAGGTCACGTGATCTCGAGGTCATCATGTATATAATTCGATGCGTCTTGACGAGCTGAACACAATGAGACCATCCATGCGTCTGTATCTTGTTCCTGTACGGAGTTATTGGCCAAAAACCTTTGGTGACCTTTGATGGCGTCACATGACCTCACAGCTGCCCAACAGCAAAACAGACCTCAAGGTAGTGAAGGTTGATCGTATATGAAGTCATGTATGGTATATGGGGCCATTCCGACCCGTTTTAGTGGTAAAAACAGGGAGTTGATTTTTCCCCCATTGACTTATAATGGGGAGGTCGCGAAATTGACCTGACCTTAGGTCACCGATATCAGAATTCCGAGATATACAAATTGTACTACTAATGACCTAATAATATCCTGCGACTTTCAAAGGCCTCCGACATCTACTGTAGCTCTGGCACGGTGACAAAGTTGCAAAAAAGTGACTTGAGGTTGGGTCATTCAAAGTGACCTGGTGACCTGACCTTAAAAGGTAGGAGGTTCAAACTTGCACACCATGTGTAAAATTGATGAGGTTATAGTCACACCAAATTACGCGGCGCTACGCGCCGCGGTTTTCCCGCTATTCTTGAAAAACCTCAGGGGGGTGGATATCCGCCCCCCCCCGTCGGTGCGAGGGTTAACCGATGACTAGGACCTTAAAATTGGGTATCATTGGCCTCCTCTCGTGACGGGCAACACGCTCGTTTTTTTTCTGCGAAGCTCTAGCTCCATCAGGGGCCAATTCGCGAGGGGGGTCGTACCCCCCCCCCCCTTGTGCCGTCGAAGGACTCAAAATGGCCTGTGCCGGCGAGGGTTAAGGTCCTATGTCATCATCTCGTCATCATCTAGGTCATCGTCTCGCCAAACTGTGGGCGAACAGGAAGTATACCCTGCGGACTGACTAAGCATGCGGTGCCAGGACGAGCTAAAGAGCTACATGGTTGACGTAAGGGAGAAATAAATGACCGGATTCCTACAGGTCCTTTTTTCACACCGTTCCGTGCTTCTATCCTCAGGATACTGAAATCCTTCTCCTCCACGCCGCAACCCCCTCCGGGCTGGACAGGCATCTTTATCTCATGCGGGCTGCTCCCTTGGAGCGGCACCGCTGCTCCCGAGGGAGCGCACCCCGTAGCCGGGTGCAGTGAGTGCCTTGGGGCTGGGAGGCCTGTCCTCTGGACGGGCTCAGCCCCGGCGACTCACTAGGGTGCCTGCCCGCCTCAGACCAATGTCTCCCCCTATATCCTATCATCCTCCCGGTTCTGAAATGGTCCCATTGGACCGAAAGGGCTTAACCCAACAAAATTAAAACAAACAGGTCCTTTGTTGACCGTCCTCAATCCGTAACCTCTATTCTAATCTATCATGGTTAACCTTCCAGGTCAGGTCAGTGAACTACCTAAAGTCGGGAAAATTGGGACCTGTCAGAACTTCGTAAAGTGATGTTTTTTTTCGGGGTACTCATCACGAACTTCGTGTTAGTTTTAGTCAGAAATGATGTCTTCATGCATATAGGGCAGGTCGGGTTACGTCAGGTCAGGTCAAACAGTAGGCGTATCTACTGCCGGGTATTCATAGTACCGATTCCAGGACAAAAAGTCAAAAGACAAAATGTCAAAAGACAAAAAGTCAAATGCAAAAAGTCAAAATGGATAAAAGTCAAATGGAAAAAAGTCAAATGGATAAAAGTCAAAACGGATAAAAGTCAAAAGACAAAAAGTCAAATGGCAAAAAGTCAAAACGTCCAAAAGTCAAAAATGCAAAAAGTCAAATGGCAAAAAGTCAAAATGGCGAAAAGTCAAAAACGCAAAAAGTCAAAAGCAAAAAGTCAAATGGCGAAAAGTCAAAATGGCAAAAAGTCAAAAACGCAAAAAGTCAAAAGCAAAAAGTCAAATGGCAAAAAGTCAAAATGGCGAAAAGTCAAAAACGAAAAAAGTCAAAAGCAAAAAAGTCAAATGGCAAAAAGTCAAAATGGCGAAAAGTCAAAAACGCAAAAAGTCAAAAGCAAAAAGTCAAATGGCAAAAAGTCAAAAAACGCGAAAAGTCAAAAGACAAAAAGTGAAAAAAAACGGCAAAAAAGTCAAAATGATAAAAATCAAATGGAAAAAGTCAAATAAGAAAAAGTCAAAAGTAAAAAGTCATATAGGTATCTAAAAAACCATAAGACACCGCTCG